ATAATACCTAATATATTATATACATTTTTATCCACAACCTTGTCTCCATTCTAACTATCACAAATCTTCTAATAAGTAATACAATTCTCATATAATGTTAATAATAGTTTTTTTTTTTTTTTTAATATAATGATAACTTAGCTAAAATGTTTTCTGTACAGTATAAGTACAAATACTTTTGTTGTACAGGGTACCTATCCTTAAATAACAGTTAGGACAATCAGTGGTCGAAGACAATATTTCTAAAAAAGGACCAAAAAAAAAATATTTAAGTTTTTATATTATACATATTAAATATAATATGATAACAGATATTACCTAAATACCATAATTAGTAATCATTAATTTTTGTGTATATAGAAATAAAAATAAATAAATGAATAAATACATAAAAAAAAAAAATGTACAAATTGGTCATTTTACATACAAATAATTTATTTTAACAGGAGAAATAATTTAAAATGGGTTATTTATTAGACATAGATATATTAAGAATTATAAATTTTTGATTATTATTTATTATTTTAAATGTATTGATACAAGATATTATATTTATTGATAAAATTATTTTACTTTATTTCATTATATATATATATATATATATATGTAATTCTTCTAAAACTGAATTAATGTAAATGTTATTTTGGTTATTTAATACCTCTAAGTCTGTATTAATATCAAAGCTTATATAATGAATATTTTCTAAAACATTTTTAGCGAAATTTGAATTAGTGGCAACCTTTTTAAATTTTGTTTCAGAAATGTGTTCTTTATATCTTATATTAAAATAATGAACAACTCACCAAGTAATGATGTTACTACAATAGTTGTTAACTATTTTAGTATGAAATATCGAAATAATATGTTTAACAAATTCTCTAAAATTTTGAAAAACAATACATATAATGTAAAAAAAACCTTTAAAATTAATAAAAATGTAATCAAACATATAAATAATAGATCTAAAAACTTCATAAAAAATCTCTCTACTTTTAAAAATGCTGGTGTATGTAAACTTAAATATAACTGTAATAAATTTTATATTGTTAAGACAAATAGAAATTTTCAAATAAGATATAAAGAACACATTTCTGAAATAAAATTTAAAAAGACTGCCACTAATTCGAATAATTTTGCTAAAAATGTTTTAGAAAATAATTATAATATATGCTTTGATAATTAATACAGACTTAGAGATATTAAATACCCAAAATAACATTAATTCAGTTTTAGAAGAATTACATACATAAAATAAAATTAAGAAAAATAATTTTAATACAATTTTAAATATATAATAATGTATGTAAACCTATTTAAAAAAATAATATTTTGTATCAATGCATTTTAGATAATAAATAATAACCAAATCATTTATATTTCTTAATATATCTATTTTTAATATAATAACCCATTTTAAATAATTTCTCCTATTAAAATAAATTATTTCTTTGTAAAACGACCAATTTGTACATTTTTTTTTTCTATGTATTCATTCATGTATTTATTTTTATTTCTATATACACACAAATTAACGATTACTAATTAAAAACGATTCTGAGCAGAGTTCAAATAATATAGTTACTGTGTCGACAATATATTATATGCCATATCCTTATTAAATTGTAATTGATAGGGAAAATATAAGTTGTAACCTACAATGTCATATAAATATGAATAATTTAATATTAAATACAAATTAAACATATCTTTATAACTTCAAACATTAGGTATTAAGTTACCAATAATATTTATTATTTGAATTTTAAATTGCCTAATGAACTTTTGTTTAATCATTTTATCCAATATATTAATGTTTGATAATAAATAAAATTGCAAAATTTCAATTGATACTACCTGTAAATGAATAATCTAAAATAATTGTTTAAATCTAGTCCACGAATTAATAAAACTTTATAAGTTACAAATCTCGCTGGGGAGACAGCTGTTTACCCTGCTTCTAATACAGACACGCCAATGGTTAGCAGCCACTCATCATTTTAAAGTGGTTGATAACTGATAAAAACTTATAAATTTATTTTATTTTCTGACACACAATAATAAACTAAAATTAAACATATTTGAATAGTTTCAAACGAGATAATTGTGTATCATAAAATTCAAATCATTTACCTATAGGATAATTCTATATACTCTATATATAGCTATATGTCCATATGATGGAATTATTTTTATTTTCGTAATACCTATTTATTAGATACCAACCTGCTCAATATTATTAACCAGAAATAATACTTCCACATAATAAATAATATACACAATAGTAGAAGTATTATGTGTAGTGTATACTACATACTTATAAACATATATAATAAATTTAAATTTTTACACAAGCTACTTACATATTATATTATGTATCAAGTGTCTAAAAACGTGAATGCATAAAGCATAATAAAAAAGTATTAATTTAATATAAAGTATTGAATAACAAATAAGTAAAATCTGTTTACTATTCCTAGCGGATTTTCAACATTTTTCTGGGAGGGGTCCTAAAAAATCATATATATTTAAAAGGTATCTCTATTGATAGGTATCTTTTTTTTGGACTACATTTGTTGAAATTATATCAGTGTCTGGGAAGAGTCCTGACCCCCTGAACCATCCCCCCTCCATTATTCCGCAACTATTTACTATGATATGTGACTGAATTACAACATTTTCATTATTAGTCAAGTATTTTATAAACTAACATTTAGGTTAGTTAATAAATCCAAACTATTTAATAAATGAGTTTTTATAAATATAAAATCATAAGGTTTTAATTTCCTAAAATAATTACTTTTAATATGCCTTTTTATGTTTTTCAGAATTGAAAATGATATTTTGTAGCCTGTAAAACCTAAAATAAAAACAAATTATGCAATAGGTACTTATATTTTTTCAAATGCTTCACTTCATTGTAATTCATCATTATCATCACTATTTATTGTCATTTCATACTTTCACTTGTTTCATATCCTTTAGATAATGATTTTGTTGTTTCAATTTGATGTAAAACTAAAAAACTCTGACTTGAGATTTTCAAAATTTTTTCAAAAATTTCTGAGAAGAAAATTTGTTGAAGTTTTACAGCAAGCTTAATTAACACTTCAATTGGTAAATCACAATCGATAATTTTAATTTTGTGTTGATAACCAAAACTAAATTAAATCAGTGTAAAGTTTAAATTGTTTAATAAATATTTTTTCCATAGGTAGTATTAATTACTCTATCATAATAATAAAGTTGAATACTTTTATTTGATATTTTGTGTATATTGATCAATAAACGGATTATCTTCTAAAGTTCTAGTAGTCTATTAAGTGTTTTATTTTTTTGCTTAGTCCTTAACAGTGATAAACTAGTTTCTACAAGTAGGTATATACATTTTTGTTTTCAATTTTTTTCACTATAATTTTGTTTTTACATTTTTTATAAATTGACTTACAATAATCTCCAGCTCTCCGTCGTCTTCTTGATATAAATTTTAATTAGTTTAAAGGTCCGTTTACCATTTATTACGATTTAGAATATCTATATCAGTCGTTTGCAAATATTTAGATACCTACTTAACAAAGAGGTTAGTTTAGACAATTCATACATATTCTAACAATGTGATAGGTACGATTAGGTTTATGGTTTTTTTAAAAAATGTATTGAATTTCATGTTTGTAAATAAATAACAATATAATTATCACTAATTATTTAAATTAATTTAAATTATGATTTTTCAACCTAGCCATAAAATACACTAAGTTATTAAGTAGGTATATAGATATCTTAGTTCATGGACCATGATCGGAGACAATTTCTATTATTCGATATTCTTATCATACAAACAGTTATTAATTTATTAATAAAATAAATACCTAGGTACCTTAATATTGTTTAAAATATCTTTGCAATTGAAGAATATGAAAATGTTAATAATTAACAATTATTATTGATATTTGATAACAGATAAATGCACAATCGTACTATAAATGCAGATAATCTGTTAATATAAAATCAATATTATTGGATGTCTTTATATTCTTTATATTACTATAATATAAATTACTATTAAACAGATATTATGTAATCGGGGCAAAATTGGAACGTTTAATGAAAATCGGTACATTTTGTAGTCCCAACTAGAGATAAAAATTTAATGCCCATTAAAAAATCAGTACCTACTGTCTTGTATAAATCGGGATGTCTAATCACATTATACCTATTGGATACTTAATAATTATATAGTGTACACTCATAAGCTACCAAAACTCAGTCAAAGCTCCCCAAATCAAGTCCTTATCAAGTAAATACTAAGTACTAATACATAATCAACAGCCCATTCCTTCAACAACATTTGGGTGATTTCTACATGTTATCATTTGTATGTTATATAAAAGAAATATATGTTTATATATATAAAAGAAAAAGAAGACGCTTCTTTATCATCACAAATCCCAAGTAATAATTCATTTTTTCACCGTACGATTGACATGATTCTTCGTATAACGTGTAGGTACCTGTAAAATTAATTTGTATTCTATTTTATTCGTAAACCGATTTATTCAGTGTTATTGATTTATTGATTCGAAAAACCGATTGTCGTCATTCGTGAACTGTAATATATATAGTTCAGGCGGTAATATTATTGTAATATCATTTTTAATTCGGGAAAACGAAATGTGTATAGATATAGACATTTGACATTTCTACTCGTGTAAATATATTAATATTAGATATTAGAATATTGTACACAATTATTAATTATCGAAGTGCAAACAATATTAATTTATCATGATAATAATAATAATAATAATAATAATATATTGTATTATTATCATCATCATGAATTAATAATGCCAATAATAACATTTTTACGGGGCGATAATATTCGTCGGCGGGTAACCGTGTATGCGAACAGCTGGGAGCGCGTCGGTCGCACCGGCGGCGTTCACTACCGCCGCCCCGCCGCCACCAGTGTACAGAGCACACCGTTTAGCATTAGTATGTCCACCGCGTTTTCGGTAGACTGCTGTTGGTACGTCGTATGTTCTCTGCGTCTTCTTGCCTCACCTTCATTTCGTCGTCAACTGCGGAACCTCGGACACTGGTATCGTACGTCATTGCGGTGTATAACCCGGTAATATCACCGTCGAATACGAATTTTGCGTATTCGTGTCCCGTCTTCGGGCGGAGTTATCGTGTCGTACCATACCTACCTGACGGTGGATAGAAGAAAGAAGTATACGAAAAGGGAACATTGCGAATTCGACTTACGAAAAAAAAAAAATTATAATCGACGATGTCTGACAACAGAAACAATGGAACTGGCAACAGAAACAATGGGACTTCAAATAGAAAAAGTGTGGCTGGCACTAGCAACGGTGGAGCTAGCACCAGCAACGGCAGAGCTAGCACCAGCAACGGCAGAGCTGGCACCAGCAACGGCGGAGCTAGTACCAGCAACGGCGAAGCTATCACCAGCAACGGCGGAGCTAGCACCAGCAACGGCGTAGTTAGCACCATCAACGGTGGAGATAGTACCATCAACGGCGGAGCTAGCACCAGCAACGGTGGAGTTGGCACCAGCGTCGTGAACACGACAAGACGTTTGGTGAGTACAATCCGTCATGTTTATTTTTTTTCTATTTATAAAGAATATCGTAAGTAACATGGTAGTGGTAGGTATTGTTGTTGGGCTCGTGGCGATTAATCCGGTAGTGTGGCGCGCAAAAAAAATTCACAAACCATAATGTATCTATTAAGTCGTAATATGTTCGTATGCGTGTATTTTACATTTTCATTATCACCCGGCGTCCACCCGATATATTTCGCGCGCACGCCGCGCATCCATGCATTTCGCGTCATCGTCCGCGGTGGCGGCCATGACGACTCACGGGGGAGGCACGTCCGCAGCGGCGGCCACCGTCGTTCGTCTTCGACACCCGGGACGACGTTTTCACCCGTCCTCGTGACGAATCATAACGAACCATCGTTGATGTACCTATTTGAATATCTATATTGTATCGCGTACAGGTTACAAAGAGATGGTAATAATAATAACGTACGAACATTCTCGCGTACGCCATTTTGAGGGATCGTAATAAATTCTCGTTTTTCGGGGATGGATGTGGGCGGCGGTAGGGGGTAGTACTGACGAACGGACGGACGCGTGGTTTGCCGCGGATTGGAGGCGGTGGTCTTAAGCCTTCACCCGCGGGCACAGTGTATGAAATCTAACGTTTGGTTTATGACGTCACACGGTAGTGGTGGACGACAAAGGCGCGTCCTTCCTACCCCCTAAAAACCATACCTCACCGTTGCCGTCGATGTCGTTGAAAAACAACCACCGCCACCACCTTAGTATATTGTAGCGCGTTACATTACCCGTATACGGTCATAATATCGACACGTGGTTGTTCGTCTCGACTGCGCCGTGGTATCGGTATATCACGCTGGTTAGCTGCAGGTAGTCGCCGACACTGTCATGTTCATTAATAACAATACGCGCGCGCTTGTGTATGTGTGTGTGCGTATGTCCCTTTTTTTTCCATTCCGACGGCAGGAAGATTTTGGTTAGGTTTTGGTGGTGTTGCCACCGTTCTCTATCTCCTTGTTGCACGGACGGTCGCGTCTTTTTCGTGTTTTTTGCCTACCCGCCGCGGAGGAGTCGGTTCGGCCGCGCGGCGGATCACGTCAATCCGAATCGTACCAATTTTACTGCGTACAGAACTGTAGGTACGTGTGTGGGCCAGCGGATATTTGTCGGCGTTTTCTCATTTCGTCGTTTTTCTTGGTTTCGGTTTTTTTTTCTCTCTGAACATCGTTGGCCTATGGAAATTATTTTGAAAATAACCGTTCTTCGCGTCCTACTAAATTTGCGTATGTCCATTACAACCTAACCTGAAATAACGTATTCAGATTACCTACGCGCGAATCCGTGTTTACCAACCACGTTTCTACGCATTCGTTAATGAGATCAACTCTTTATGATTTCCGTTAATCTAAGCGTAACGAAATTTTTTATTTCAACTTGACCGCTACTAATTATTTCTCCGATTAACGTAATTTTATCATATTGCACGTTAGTTGGATGGTAGAAACGGGCATTGTCTCTTTGTGCGAATACATATTTTTTGTGGGGATTTCCCTAGAAGTAGATAAACGTTCGCATCACAGATAATATTATTACCAGTGCGTATAAATAGACTTGTTTTGAGTGCAATAAGTTAATTTTATTTGTTAATATTGTTATTATATTTCCTAAATGTCCGTTATCAATGTTGTTCGCGGTTATTGTTAATTTATTCCTTGGCTCAGTGCAGTGTAGCGATAAGTACTTATTATTGTCCATTAGTATGTACATAGTTGTACAATTTAAATCTCTTAATTTTACAGCGTTGATCTCTTTTTCAGTTTCGAGATATGTACAACAACATATGCCGAAATAAAAAATAATATGAAATCTTGTAAAATGTAAAATAAATAAAATATATATTATTATTATTGTAAAGATTAGAATATGATGAATCAAGTTTTCGGTTTTCTACATAATTTTATGTCTCTATTTTAAATTTTAAATTCATATTAATCTTAAATGTGAAAACCTAGATAAAAAGTATTTATAGACAATTCATTATAAAGTAGTAAATATTATTTTTTTAATTCCTCGACATTTCGTCGGCTACTCAGTAAAATCTCGCAAGTCGAATTCGACTTATTTTACTGTCGAAGCGAAAAACTGTTGCAAACTTAAAAATGTAAAAAAATCAAAATTTCAGGTAGCAAAATTTTACTCTAGGTGGCCTAATGATTTTATAAAAATATGCTGATAGGAAAGTGTGAGAAATTACGTACTATCAGTAATGTTAGTGTTACTTAGCCAAAGAAAATACATTTATAAAAAAAAAAATCCTTTTATTGTAAATAAGACAATAATGTCAAAATACCTATGCATAATGCTATAATATGATAAAAATAATATTCATTTTTATTTCAACTTTTAATTTAAACATTTTATGAACTTCATTTATACATTAAATTAATTTTAATGTAGGTGATAAAAAAAAAAAAAACAAATAAAAAAGATTTCTGGTAGAAAAGTTGTCAACATCTGTGTAAAACCATAAGCAAAAAGCTCCACTCAGAATCTAAAATAACCATGTGCATTTGAAAAAAATTATATCTATTAAAATTGCATAATATCTTGTGGGCGTTTCTTTTCCTTTTAAAACATTTCTTGTTCTATCTGTTGACTTTAAAGTTCAAGTTTTTGGTATATTTATTTAATTTATATTTACCCAAGGGTAACAAATCTTTACATTTATTATTAGGTATATTTTATAATATATTATTTGGTAATTATTAGTAACTATTTTTTTAACGAATATGCAGACAAGATTTTCCCTAACATCACAAACAATTGTTATTATTGTTTTGCATTTTTAACTTAAGAGCGCGCTATAACCCCATGCGTTGTCTTAGTCTAACTAACGGGTAATAAAGCAAAATCTATCTTAAAAAGACTGCGTAGAACTCACCTAGCTTTGATTTTAGGATAAAATCACTTATTATAAAATTAAAAGAAGACAATATTTCGGAGGGCATACTTATACATTTTTCGTATTCTAATTTAATTCTAATTATTAATCCAAATATGACGTTGAACACATTGCTTAGAAATGACCAACATTTCACAATATAAATTCAAAAATAGAAATGTACCGTCTTATCCTTCAGAGTATTATCCTCTTTTAATTTTATAATAAGTGATTTTAGAATAAAATCAAAATCGATAGAGTTCTACGCAGTTTTCCGAACGCAGATTTTGTTATATCGCCCGTTAGTGTTGACTGAGACAGCACATGCGGATATATAAAGTCCTCCGTATTTTACATAATAATGATATCGTTAGTTGTATTTAATTGTGTGTCTAATATCTTCGACGTTTTCCGTGTTCGGATATTTCTTGTTCGATTCTTTCCGTTCGAAATAATTCGGAAGAGTTTTCGTTACAGATTAAACTTGTCCGGAGAAAAGTCTCGTTGTCCCTGTACAGCCGTGAACATCGCACACCTGGTTTTTGCAGGCTTAACTGAAAAAAAGAATTCCTTTTTAAATTAAAACAATATAATAGTACGTTCGGTGTAATAATGTTATGGTTTTGTAAAAAATGTACCTACATTTCGAAAATTAAAATGTTAATGACACATTATTTCGTTTCATCATCGTATATTGTAATATTTTGGAATGGAGTATTGTTACTGAAATAAATATATTTAAGTGCATGTTTTATCTACTTCTTTGTTCAGTTTAAAATTCTCTATACGTTGTCCCATGAGATACCCATTGATAACCCATTGAAATATTGGAAAGTATTAATTTTTTTTGGAATTTAAGAAATGATTTAATAATTTATGTTATGTTATTATGGTACCTACTACTTCTACTACTATCCCTGATTCTATTAATGTAGGTGAACAGGAGTATTAGTTTACATACATTTTGGTGTTCAGATGTTTGATCTTTGTGAATTCGTTGACAAGGTATTTCACTTTTAGTTTGGATAAGACTGGTAAGAGGAGATTAGATCATTATTCGTGTAGCTGCACAGTAATGCAGCGTTTGAATAGTGCGCCACTACTTTTACCCTACCCAAATATAAAAGTGGAATACTTCTTCAACGATTTGACAGAAATAAAACATTTCAATATTGAGAAATGTATGTAAACTCGACCAGTTCATTTACATAAATAAAATCATGGGTAATAGGTACGATAATATAATCTCATCTAGTAATAATTAGTACAAACATATAAAAATTAATAAATCTCAAGGATACAGTTTTTCTAGAAATTAAACCATTTTATCTAAAAGTTTTAATTCATGCTCCTAATTTGATATTACTATATTCATTTAATTATAATGTTCTTATTGAAATTTAATAATGATGTTCAAAGTTAGATGTCAATCGAAAATGATAGACACATTAGGTCACATATTTGATTACTACTGAAATGTAGTGTAAGATGCTTAAAACGTATTTCGCGATAGTATTTATTCAAACAAGAAAGTAAGTAATAAAATATTATTAAAAAGTTAATAATAATTACCTATATTCGTAGGTACCTAAATAACTATGTAGATAACACTCGTGGAATACTTATAGTTATGGACCTACAGTGTACTTAACTAACCGCATAGTTATATATATATATATTGTGAACCCATTTCTTTGACTTAATTTTACTTATTTTAACTTTCACTATTCAGGTAAAAAATAATTTCCCTAGCATACTTACCAGGTATGTAAATATGAAACCGGAATTTACCTATAAATATTTCTAGCTATCTATGTAGTTATTTCCAAACTGCATAATTGATGTTATTTACATGTTAACATATTACAAAAGATATTTAACTTATAGTAATACAAGTTTCATATAACTGCATAGTTTGTAATAGCATTGAATATGTCAAATTTTGTTCCCAGAAACGATTTGCGAACAGTATTTTTCTGTTAACATTTGAAAAACAACTGTTACAGAATCGCATAGAACACTTGTCAAAGCTTACAGTAATCAAAGTCTTGAAAAATTGCAGTACTTTGAGTAGTTTAAAAATTTAAATGAGTCGATTTTGACATGAGAAACGAAGAATGTGGAAAACCAACAAAACATTTTGATGGAAGACAATGCTCTGTGTTTGGTGGTATCAGAAGGGTGTGATCTATTATGAGCTATTAAAACCTGGCGAAACTATTAATACTCAGTGCTACCGATAACAAATGAACAATTTAAATCAAACTGTGTGAAAAACGACCAAAATATCAAAAATGATAAGTGATTTTGATTTATGATAATGTCTCATCACATAGCAAAACTAGTCAAAGAATCAATCGAGGCTTTTAGTTGGGAAATACTTTTGTATGCGGCTTACTCACCAGACTTAACTTCGTCCAATTATTATTTTTTGCCTTGCTGAGCAGTGCTTCACTTCTTACGAAAATGTACAAAAAATGGATCGATGACTGGATCACCAGAAAAAATTAACAGTTTTTTTGGCAAAAGATTCACAAATTACCAAGCAGATGAAAAAAATGTATAGCTATAGCAATAGGCAATATTCCGAATAAAATATTTGTTATCTGTTTCATACAATAAATGTAAATTTTCTGTAAAAAATTTCCGGTTTCATATTTACAGATCTGCTAGTATCTACACAAGACTTTTCAATTAGGGTACTATTAATAGTAAATTGTGTTTAATGCAAGCCCACAGTGGGTTACCCAGGGAGGTGGCTAAAGGGGATTCAAGAAAATAAAATAAAATAAAATAAACTATTCAGCATTGAAAACTTTACTAATAAAATAATAATCATTGCACATTTACTAAACAAATTTGACCAAGTAAAATAAGTACAAATTACAATTATGACACCTCAATTGTTTTTCATGTTAGACGTATTATTAATGCAAATATCTAGATAAGTAAGTATAATCAGATATAATATTAGTGAGACAAGTAAATTTTTAAAATAATACATATGTACTGATACATAATAGCATGTATCAATAAGATAACATAAATAATTTAAATCAATAATAAATATTTATCTAAATCTTAAAATAATAATATGACAGTATAATATCAATTATTATTATGGTATGTAAGGGTGATTCATATTATATATAAATAAATAGATAATATAGGTAGGTAAATGACAAAAAAAAATTATCTTTAATTTTTTGTCTCATGTCTGACTTTCCCGGCCATTATATCCATTTATATATCCATTATTGATGCATGTGTTTCCATTTAATTATTTAGACAACAAGAAGGTAATTATTGAATTATTAATAGTATTTTTAGGTACCTACTAGATTATTTATTTTATCAATATTATTATATTATCACAGTTATTGGCTTTGCAGGTATCTTTCTAAGATAGTTCAGTTCAATAAAAGTGTATAATGTATTTTGTACTGAGCTTTTGAGTATATTAATTGTAGTGTTATATTGATCCATTTATTTCTTATCATATTTTATTTGGTAACCTAAAAGTGACTGTGATTTTTGTTAAATGCAGTTTTCTATAGTTAGTTTTTTTTCCTCGTCTTACATAGTTTGTTATTAATGATTGTTTTATAGTTTGTACTCACTGAATACTTTAAATAATTATGTTTTAATTAGGGCTATGCAAAACTATACTAAATTATAAAAATCAAAAACTTAAATACTTGAAACAAATGTATGTATAAAAATTAATTTCTATAAGTATTGAATAAATGGTCTTCAATGTTTAAATGCTGAACAGTTTCATCACCAAATCAAGTTTATGAATTTATATTAATTGGATCTAATTGCTCGGTGTTGGTTATTCTTTCATTGGGTTGTTTATTATGCTAATTTAAATAAAAAGTATCCCTGTGAATAAATGTAAAAATAAAAAATCAAAATGCTGTATTTTGAACAACTATTGAACGGTGTTATGGATTTACTCTTTTATAGGCGAATTTGCAGAAACCAATTTGAATATGATAATGTTTATAGTGCTTATAGTTACTAGTAGTAGTATTTACTACTATGATTTTTTTTTTATTAATTCAAGGTGCCATTCAAAATCTATAATAGCTAAAAATAGCTATAAATGTATAAAATAATATTAGTTATTTTATTATTTTTGATTATGAGAGTAAAAATGATTTCAGCTTTGTTTAAATGGTCTTTAGGATTTTTTAGTTTGATTGAACTGATGATTATATAATCTAGAGTTAAATTAATTCCCTTTTAATGGTATTTAATCGAGTTGATCAACCAAAATGGCATAATAATATAGTATATATGCATTTTTTACAATAACACTTATGGTGAAATGATTTTCTTTTTATTATTTGAACAATTTTAGTCTTTGTATACTTAAGATAATCTTCATTGTTAATTCATTGTCAAAATTAAAGAATTTAATATACCCCTATACAAAGTATAAAATGTATAAAACCATAACAACTAAAACAATATGTATAATAATTTGATTTTCATTAAATCTTATTTTAATTTCAACTAATATTCATAAATTATATTTAAAACTTTTTTATTGTTATTTGAACCTAATATTGTTTTATCATTTTTCAGCTCTGTATTAATATTAGATTAAACTGTTTCCATAAATTTCAGTTCAACTAGAAAAATACCTAAATAAGGAAATTGTAAATAAATAAAAACAATATACCTTCTCATTTCCTCATTAAAGCGAAATATTTTTCAACTAGTACTTGCATTTTGTAAATTTTCCCGTTTTTCTAAATTATTAAATAAGCTCATTAGAAAATTAAAAAATGACCTTAAAGTACCTTCCCTATCAGATTTTCTTTTAGAAAAAAATGTTATCATTGTAAATCGGAGCAAAATTCTGCTTAAAAAGTTGTCTGCAGGAAAAAAAAATTAAGAAAAATAAACATCTATGTAAAATCATAAGCTTTTTCACACCACTCAGAATCTTAAAGACGGAAATACTTTGCACAATGGGTGGGTCACTGTTGTAGGTGAGGAATTGGGAAGGTAGGCTATAGAGAGAAATTTAATGTGTTTTTGTATGCAAAGATCAACCACTGCTGATGAAAATCTATTCTGTGCAGATTTGGTTATACCATAAGTATATGTAATATTTACGATTTTCGTTAAAATTTGATATTGAAATTTTTATATACAAAAAAAAATACATTAAAATCATCCTTTCCTTGTTTACCACTAAACACAACTTATAATGAGCATCCTGTTCAATTTTTAAACATTTTCTTAGTTTCTACTGAATAAAAATAAAAATGTCATAAAAACTTACTAAATTAAAATGTCTATAAATAGCCTAAAAATGATACAAATATTTTTTTAATTATTTATCGAAAATTTCACCACGTCTAGGTAAAACAAATATAAGTGTTATGTTCAAAAGACAAAATTGCTAAAAATAATAAAAACATTGTTTTTGAAAATTTTTCCGTTCTTTTCATAGGTTTTTCGAGTTTTTCTTAAGTATTATGAAAACCCCACGGAAACTAAAAAAATGACTTCTCTGAAGTATCAACTGCCTAGATAAAATTTCGTTTCTGAAAAATTGCTTGGCACACTTGCTATATCAAAGCAAGATTTCTGGTAGAAAAGTAAGTTGTTCACAGATTTAAAAAAAAAACATTGTTAACTCACCAATACATTCCTCGCTTCGTTCAGATTCTAAAAGCTAATACTGGGTACTTACCTATCTCTATAAGTAATAAGGTTTTTATACATTTATAATGTATAAACAACTATCTAATAAATTCAAAATAAACAGGTACCTATAATACTTTAAGCTACAACTTATTTTAATTGTACATTGTTTATTACCATTATAATTTAATATTCATTAGGGTTGGTAATATACGTTAATAAAACGTATAAAATGCTTAAACGTATAAAACTATTATGACAGAGATATATAAGGAGTTATACATTTTATTATTTTTTTTTTTATACTGTGTACAAAAAAAAACCTAAAAATCTTGTTTCGATTGTGTAGCACCTTTTTTGAAAAAAAATATTTCTGGAGTGTAATTCAGTTAAACATGTTCTTAGAGAAATCTTATATTTGTTTTTTCTAAACTTGGTTAAATGTTCAAAACATTTGAACCATTTTAAAACTATTTATAGGCATTTTAATTTTGCGAGTTTTTTTATATAGTTTTTATTCGGCAGGTACTCTGAATAAAATTGTTAAACCAAACAGATTATGTATGAAAATTCAACAGGAGGTTCATTATAAGTTTTACTCAGTGATAAAAAAGGAAAAGTTGAGTTTAATATTGCATTATTTTTTTTATAAACATAATATCAATTTTTACGAAAAAAGTAAATATTACGGCTGTTTAAAACATGTATTACCGAACTTCGCACAGAATCGTGTTTTTCGTTGGTAATGATTAATCGTTGCTTTCAAAAAATTCATTAATTTCCCCTTTATATCTTACCTACCGTCCACCCATCGTGTGAAGTATTTCCGTCTTTTTTCTTTCTTTGAAATCTATAATTTTTATAATAGTGATAATATTGTACATTTTGAATTTTAATAAATATTAACTTTTAAAATTTATATAACAAATTAAAAAACTCGTTAAAAAATAGTGATTTTGATTTCTGTTTTTTGCTTATCGTTTTGGAATCGTTTATGCTATAATTATAATTATTTTTAATTTTTTACCTCAACTCCATGTACCTTAAATAAGTACATACTTTTGGTTTTGAAATAGAAACCACCCCAACTTTTTGAACTCAGATTTGAATATAGAATATTTTTCTAGAAATTTTGATATGTATAACACTAATATTAGATTTACCATTTATGAGTTTAACAGTTTGAAGTTTAGACCAGAGGATTAGGTAAGGTAAACAGATAGGCTAATTACTGGTTCATTATAAAAAAATCATATTTAAAATAAAACAAAATCAAAGCAAATTTCTTTTTAGTTATCAATATTTATGTAGTTATCAATAAAGAATAAAAATTAACTTAGTAATTAATATAAGATAATATCAGTTATCACTTATCACTTACCAATGAATATCATTTGATAATTATTTTTTCTGATAATTGCTGTTCAGTGCAACCATACAAAAAACCTTTATACAGTATAATACGTGTTTTTAACTCAACTGTTTTATATGTTATAACCCCGATATTTGTATTATAATAAATGAGTATTAACATTGTTAATCATTTTATTATATAATAAAAAATTTATTAATACAAATAATATATCTATATTTGTAAATTTTTTAGTGCCATTTAGAACTTAAATAAAAAAATAAAATAAATAAATGTTTATAAATAATTAAACAATAGGTACTTTAAGATAATCTCAATATTATTAGAATATTAAGAGTATTCAGTTTATCTTTGATAAATTTTAGAACAACATAGACTACATAGAATTACATAGATGTCAAAGTATGTTATAATTTTAACAAAATCCTGAATAAATCCTTTTACACATCAATTTTAATTTTTAAAATAACATTGTATGATACATTTCAAGTATTTTTAATTTTAATCAGAATATAGGTACTCAAAACAAAATAAAATGTGTTTATTACTGTTTAATAAAAGGTTTAAAAATAGATTGTGACAAACTTCTCTATAAAACGAAATTTTTAGATATCAAAACTGTATTTATATACTCAAAATTGGGAATAATTTGGGAAACCTTTATCAATTTCTTTAAGCCTTTCTTCCTGGAAAGATATTTGTTGTAGT